AATTAATGGGATACTTCTGCGGTTAAAGGAGGCACATTAAAGACACACGGTTTCTCTCCTGAGCCTAAATTGCCAGCCTCAGTTCAGGCCCCGTGTCCTTCTGTCCTTCCATCAAGACAGTTAAGGAGCTCAGCCACTTGAGAAGAAATATAAGGAACGTGATGTCAAGGAAGACGATTCAGAAGGGCAGAGAGGTGCTGTAGATGACCTCTGGAAGAAAGCTCCCAGTTGTGAGGATGGTGTAGGAAAAGGTCAGTGTGTGGCTGTGCCAGAGCTGAGAGCTGTGACCACAGCACGTACGAATCTACCCGATTTTAATGCAACTAATACAACTAACAGCAGTGGAGAAGAGGAAGGGGTTTACCCTGGTTCCCAGCAGAAAAGGAGATTTATTAGGGGATGAAGGTACCAAAAAGGCTGTGGCCTCCCCCTGCGAAGGCCACTGTGTGCGATACCTGTGGTCTCTGCCCCGAGCGGTAAGGCAGGAGCTGGGCAGCCTTTCCTTTACAGTGCACTTGCTTCTGCCCCCACCACGGCGGACATCGATTAGCTCCAGTACAGGTAAGTCCGTGCAAACTGCAACCGTATCTCTACTTGGTGTGTGGCCGTATTAATGGAGCAAAAATGAGGAGGGAGGAGACAGTCATTGGTCAGGATAAGTAAAGTAGTGCGATGCAGCGTTGGAGGTGGGCTGAAGAAACTGAACGTTGAAGGAAACGGAGGAATAGCCAGAAAAGCAAGATGAAATACCACCTGGTTGGACCGTCTCAGGTTTTGTCACCACGTCCCTGGCTGTTCAGGAGCTCAGCAGAGTAGAAGCAACTGATGATCTGAGGTCAAACGGGTCACCAGCCTAAAAAGAGGCTCCGGATCAAAAGCAGAGAAAGTAAAACATAAATTAAAAAGCAGCAAATGCCAGACCTGTTAACCTACAACGACAGTTACGTGGGCCACTGACAAAGGAATTCATCAGAACTAGGGAGGGGAGGGATTTGTAGCCATGCACGCCAAAGCTCCCTAACTGGGAAGGCTTACAGACACGTATGGATATGTGTTTAAGCAACATCATCCCTTTAACAGTGCCACAAAGTGTCCCCAGGAGCTGGAGCTTTGTCATCTACGCTGTTAAATCGTTAGCACAATCCCAGGCATAGTTCTGGATCAGCCCAGCTAGCATTTTCCCAAACAATTGCTGGAGACAGTGTGGGAATTAGCACACTATTCCCAAAATGCAGTCTGCATGTGAACGTTGGTTTGGATGGTAAAACACTTGAATAGCATGGATGCGGGCTGTTCCCACGCGAGCTGGTCTCGGAGCCAGAGAATAGTCTGGACATATTTGATTGCAAAAACGCTACATGAGAAATTTTAAGTAGAATAACTTCAAAAGATAGAACAAAATTACTAGGCAGAAGTAGAATCAAAATAATGGAAACAGTGTAAAGGTAATTAGCAGTGTTGTTGCTCTAAAGATGTAAAAGAGGCAAGGTTTGTGGAGAGAAGTAATATCTTTTAGTGGAATTCGTCTAATAAAAGATACTATTTTTCTTCACAAACCTTGCCTCGAGGTCACGATCATCTTCACTGCCTTGTTCCTGCTGCAGTCTCATAATGTAAATGAGGAGAGTCAGTAGGGTCCTCTCTCTCTGTGAGGGTTACTCTAACCATATAGTTAAGCCTCAGCACTTTTTAACAGAAATAAAGAGTGGAAAGTGAAGATGCCAGTTTTTATCAAGCGGCAGAAACTTTCTTCCTGAGAGATGGCTTGTCTGCCAGTCTGAACTGTAAAAATTTCTGAGACTGGAGGTAGATAAAAACTAACATGACTGCTTAAATAATTATTTGTCCGGTAGCTGTGTATATATAGCTAGATTATCAGTGTATTTATGGGAGTGACAGTGTGGGTGTTGAGGCAGCACTATGGAGGGAAGGAAAAGAGCCCTGGATCTAGGTGCGTAGTAGAACAGAGAAGTGATTTTTTTTTTTTTAAATTCGCATTAAGAATCAGTGATATAAAAAATAAGAACACTGGGTCCGGCTCTGGTGGTGTTGCTTTAAATAGGATACTTGAAAAAACAGAAATGTTACAGAAAGGACAGACAAAATTATCTCAAGGATGGGAAACAAAAGCCTTCTGCTTGATTTATCAGACAGACTCGGTGCAATCTGTAAGGTTTATCATGAGAAAAATGCATCAGGAAGTATCCGACCGTGATTTAGCAAAGAGAGACAGAACAAGCAGCAAATGATCCAAAGTCCAGGAAAACTCAAATGGGAAATACGGCACGGTTTTAGGAGAGTGAGTGGTTTAAGCACCTTGATGTACACCTTCAAACTGCGGTCGGATGGCTTTGGAGAGATGCATTTTACTTCAGCACAAACCACTGGCTTCCTCTGAAGGGGAACCCCAGTAAAATGCAATGGCCTGTACGTGTGGGAAATCTGCCACGATAATCGAATAGTCTCCTGTCGTATTAAAAATTTCTGAATGAATTCGCGCCCCATGGCGAGCGAGCTGTGAAACTGCCCGAGGCCGCTCCTGCACAGCCAGGAGAGACGGCAGAGCCGTGACAGTTGGCTTTAAGGGGTTGAGGAATGCCGAGGGCTCCCAGTTGTTCTCTTAGCAACAGCAAAGCAACATCGTGTGCGCCAAAAGAAACTCTTCTGCGTTGAGGACCAAATATGGTGATAAAAGTCCTCAGGAGGAAGAAGAAACGACTGCTTCTCTTGTTCTATAGCACAGGCGGTTGCATGAATTAGCTATGAATGTTACAGTCGCTCGGTGGCTGTGTAGTAGCGCGAGACGAAGAACAGGCTTGAGAAAGCAGGGTCCCACGCTATATGGGATTGCTGTCCCTATGGATCAGACGTAAAGCACCCCCGTTGCCTCAGGACAAGCCAAGTTTGGGTTATCAGGCGGTAGGCATCGCTCCGTGACGCTGCTGCCCAGTTGTACAAGACTGGGGTTGCGTTAAGGCATGAAGCATGGTCCAGACCTCCTCGCCGCAACAACCCGTCGCTTGAAAAAAGGTTTGGTGGATTGGAGTCTGGATTGGAGAATGAATTTAGCTGATACCAAAGAGCTGCTGGGAGAAAACCCTGGTGCAGAAGTAGTGGGTGTGCCATCTAGAAATGAAAGCTCTCCCTCCCGTTAAAAATGGTTGCTGGGAGTTTCAGACCCCGCAGCCCTGCCAAATCCCGTTCCCTGGGGTGGAGGTTTTTCTCTTCCGGGACTAATTACAACACAGCTTTCAGGGCAGTCATTCTTTCACAAGGAAGCGTTATGCAGTACATTTCAGCAAGGCATTAACTGTTCATTAGGTATATTGGGCAAGATCCTCAACCAGTCTGAAACGTATGGGTTTGCAGCAATACTGATTAATGCTACTCGGGTATGAAGTCCGGCGTTTTTAAATGCCTTTAATTTGGGCTATTTTTAGTCAGGCACAAAGTCATGACCTCGCATGTTATTTTAGCATTCTCCTTTGTTTATAGGTGCAGCACCACATTATTCAGAAATGTTTCAAAGCCATCAGAGTCATGCTGACAGGGGGGAAAGCAGCAGAATATGTACTTCATGACAGGCCTCAAAATCATGATTAGAAGAGGAGGTTTTGATTAAGTGGGTTTACATATTTATTGTTACAGTTACTATAGCAACTCTGCTGCTTTTAACTGCACAGCGCTCATTCGTACATCTAACAATTTAAATCACGTTAAGTGCCAGAAGAGAATTAACAGCCTCACAATTTGCAACACTGGAAAACATCTCAGAGTTTGGGCTGGAGGGGAGACGGACGAAGCCTCAGATGAGCCGAGCGGTCACGTTTCATGCCATCGTACCTTCCCTCTCCAAACACTGTGAAAGCTTAGCTGGGGAAGGGTATCATTTCTATTAAGAAGGAGAGACCAGTGTTAGGACAAACAGCCCTATGTTATTATGAAAAGTGATGCTTTTTCAGACCGCGATTCTTTCCTGGGCCTGGCAATTTTAGTGCTGACCTGCAGCATTAGCTGCCTTGCCATCTTCTGCCAAGCCTTCTGTTTTAATCCAACATGCTGTACATTATGGGTATTCCAGCCCTTCAGGCTCTGTATGGCAACACACGAGACAGAGGTTAACTCCTCAGTGCTGTTGCTCTGCATGTTTTGAAGAGCCCTAGTCGGTGTAGGGGATCCAGCACTGCGGCCCCGACCCTTGGGAAGCGGCATCCATCTTGCTTCAAGTAACTATACACGGGGGGGGACCCCGTTTCCCCGCCACCAAGACACCCGCTCCCTGCTACCTTCCTCCTGCTTTGCCTTTCTTGCCTCGCCCTCCTCCCCAGCGTGCCGCTCCTCGGGAGCTGCGGATCCCTCGCCATCCCGGGTGCCACCCGGCAGCCCTCACGGCCCCTGGCCCCTCACAACCTCTGTCCCCTCACAACCCCGGTCCTCTCACAACCC